GGGGAAGAGATAGTGGGGGGCAACCTGGAGCTGGGGAGGCTGCGGGCAGGGGCAGGCCGAGAGGGGCGGGGAGGACTTCACGCTGTGCTCCCTGCCCTTCCCCCCTCCAGCCTCAGTCCCCCGCTGCAGAACTTCTTACTGAGCTCCCCCTGGGCCCCTGGACCCCCTATTCTCCCCCCCCCTCCACCGCCTCGGTGGAGCTCACACTCCCTGACCCCAGCCCCGTCCTGCGCCTGCCTTTTGGAGTACAGTCATCGCAGCAATAACAATACGTTCTTAGCGATCACAATAGCAGGCATTCAGCGGGCACTGGGCCGAGTGCCAGGCTCACGTGTGCCCTGTTCGAGTCCACACGGAGTGACGGACACAACACGATGAGACCACACGGTTCTTGCCCCCATTTGACAGAAAAGGAAACTGAGGCCCCAGAGAGGATAAGGGCTTTGTTCTTGCCACCCACCCTGCCCCGTGTCATGACCGCTCAGATGGTGGGTATTAATGACAGTGTTACTCATGAACGCGGGGACAGGCACCTTTCCCCGGGACACATCTTAAGGGGCTTAGGCAATGCGGCAGGGCTTCCCCACATCAACCAACCCCCCTTCCATCTGGGAAGGCCCTTGGGGAATGGGGAAGGGGAAAGAGGGGTATAGGACAACTACATCTGGGAAGATGGGGGACGGATTGGGAATGGATAGGAAAAATGGAGAGTTGGACATTTAACTTGGCAAGTTTCCCCAAATGGGTAACCTGCCCCATGGGGGGCACTGCAACCATCCAGGGGGAGAGCAAAGGCAGACACCTACCTTTGACCCTGGATTAGGGGATAGAGTACAAAAGGTTTTTAATGGGCCAGAGGGTCACTGAGTATAATTTTTTTTTTCTGGGAAGGGATCAGTAGGGAACCTGTGAGGGGAGAGGGGGCTATAGAAGAGGACGCTTATTAGGTCTGGAGATGGACCAGGGGTGGAGAAGGGTCCCACCTATACCATCCACACTGCTGGGGATCTTAGGGTACTTGGGTCTGGGGAGGCAGGTCAGCTAGATGGGCAGCCAGGGATGGAGGGCTAGGGGTCTGGAAGGTGGGCCCCCCATGGGAGAGAGGCAGGATCAAGGGAGATGGGGGTGTCGCAGGTGGCCCTGTCTGTGGTTCACCCCATGCTTCGGCAATGAGTACAGGCCCCACTCAGAGCAGGGGGGCCTCATTACACCGCTCAGGGGGAGTCAGGGCGGGAGAAAGAGGGGGTGGGGGGAAGGAGGAGAGTGGAGAGTGTGAGCTGAAGGGGCCTAGGCCCTGGGCTGGAGAAAGTGAGGAAGGGGCTTCCTTCACGGAATCGTCTTGTCCTACCTGGACCTCTTTGGCATGGAAGGCCACGATAAAGCAAAGAAGCAGGCAGGTGGAAACGCTGATCATGCATTTAACCAGGAACAGGTAGATGGCCCACTGTGGGGAAGGGACAGGGAAAGGCGGTGAGGCTTCAGGTCTCTACCTGGTGGCTTCTCTCTCTCTCTCTCTCTCTCTCACCAGCTTCAATGCTGACACTTAGCACCCCTGTAGGCAGGGTTGAGCTGCCCCCATGGGCTTCTGAGACTGTAACTCTTTACAGGAGAGCAGAAAGCAGAGCCCTCGCTGGTGGTTTCAAACTGCTGGCCTTGTGATTTTACAGTTAGTGTAGCCCAATGCATAACCACTCCACCACCACCACCACCACCACCACCACCACCATCACCACCACCACCACGGCTCCTTGTTCCTGGGGAGTCTCAGAACCTTCACACAGGGAGAGTGGCCTCTTCCTCCTCATCCCAAACACCACGGTCCCTCTCCTTCTCTCTTTTCTCAAGACAGACATCTCTGCTGGGGATCCTTGAAACTCCCATTCCTTCACCACCACACACCGCCCCCCAGCCTCCTTTCCCACCATTGCTCAGGGGTATCTAGAAACAGACATCTCGCTTCTAGAGAATGCCCCCTCCCTCCCTTCCCTGTGCAGCTGGTCTTGTCAGCCAACCCAACTTCAACGCACCTCTGCCCGATTCCAGATGAGCCTAGAAACTCTCATTCCATCCCCAAAGAAAGAAAGGACACCCTGCTCTGTCCATTCAGGTGGCTGAGTCTCTGAGGTGCCAGCGTCAGCTCAGAGAGGGGCACTAGGCCCAGCTGCATCTCTTCCCCTCCCTCCCGCCCTTCCCCTTGGCTCTCAGCCCAGGGCAGAGCTGGCCTGAAGCACAGAGCTTCCAGAAACCATGGCGAAGGTCCCCCCCCACCCAACTCTTTTTGTGTGGCACTACCTTGGAAGACTCTAGAATTAGGGAGGGAGGAATTCAGAGTAAACGAGACACCTAGATTCTCTAGGAAAGAGTGTGTATGTGTGTTGGGGGAGGGTCCCTACCTGAGGGTATGGTCAGGGTTGGGGGCCACGTGGCCTCTCATGCTGAGGCCCGGCACCTGTTTCTCCAAAGACTTATAGCAACTCTCCTGGCCTGGCCAGGGCCCGCCTCTGAGCAGGGGAAGAGGGCCAGTTTCCTGCTGGAGGGGAGGGGTGCTGTCCTCCTGCCCCCCACCCCGAACAAAGAGGCCTTTGTCCCCAGCTCTCTCCAACCCCCTGCATCCTTCTCCAGCTCCCCACGTCCTTGTCTCTTTCTTTATGCTTCCCAACCTCCCCCCCCCTGCACAAGCACTCTCCCCATGCAGTCCAGATCTCTTTGATCCTCTGTTTTTCCGAGATCTCTGTCCCCTGAATCCCTGATCTGCCTGCACTGTGGCCCCTCGGGAACTCCTGTCCTCTATGGAAGGTTTCCAAGGAGCTCTGGTGGCCTAGTGGGTTACATGTTGGCCTGCTAACCTCAGGGCCCACGGTTCAAACACGTCAATTGCTCCGAGGGAGAAAGATGAGGCTGTCTGCTCCCATAAAGATTGACAGCCTCAGAAGCCCACAGGGGCCATTCCACTCTGTCCTGCAGGGTCGCTATGAGTCAGAATTGACTCAGTAGCAATGAGTTTGGCGTTTGACGGGGTGTTTCTACTTCTCTCTCTCTTTGCTCTTTCCCCTCCTCCTCCTCTCTTCTCTGTCTCCCCATCTCCTTTTGGCTCTGTCTCTCTTCATCCCTCTCCTCCACCCATAGGGAACAGTAACTCTGTGTGCCCCCAGGGTGTGTGTCTCCCCTCAACGGACCCCCTCCCCCATTAGTTGGAATCCCAGAACTGCTTCTTAGGGTCCAAGATTCAATTTTTATGGGAGCACACAGCCTCATCTTTCAGCCTCAGAGCAGCTGGTGGGTTTGAACCAATGAGCTTTGGGTTAACGGCCCAAGACTTAGTCCACTGCACCACCAGGACTCCTAGGAGGCCCTGCAGGGTCATGCCTTTTCACCTTTGTCCTTGGTTTTGGGGAAACTGAGGCTCAGAGAACTGCAGCAGTGCCACCCAAGGTCCTAGTGCTGGGGGGAAGGAAGAGATGCCAGGGGACCCTTGAGGGACCCAGGCTGTGCCAGACACCATGCCCCCACCCCTTCTGCTGGGCAGGCACTGAGCGTGGGAGCGGCAGGCAGGCTCCAGCCACGCTTCCTGTTGGCATGAACTTCTGCGGGCCCCACCTCCTCCAGCACTTGCTGCCCTCGCCTTGGCTGGCCTGGTCAGAGGAAGCCAGCCTGCCCTGACCTCCATGTGGCACCTTAGAGCTGCCTAGCTGCCCCATCCACAAAGCCAGCTGGAGCCTCTAGACCCCAGCTCTCAACGCACAGCCAGGTCTCATGTCTCTCCTCTCCCAGGGGGCAATTCTGCTGGCCCCTCAACTCCTGATTCCTATCTCTGTCCACAGCCTGCCCAGATGCAGCCCTGACCAGGGCTGGAACATGCTGGGACCTGCTAAGACCCGCCCAGGCGCCACCTGCCTCTTTTCTCTCCACCATCCTCAAAGTTTGCTCTCTCTCTCTCAGCCCCTTAGACTCTGTGGGCCACCCTCTCACACCCAGCATCTGGGCTCCCAGCCCCCTCCTCCCTCAGACCCAGGAGTCCAGACCCCCTGCCCCTTTCTCCCTCAGACCCAGGAGTGGAGGTTACTATATGCCTACCTCTCCACTATTTCCCTCTAGACTCGATGTCATACAAATTCTAAGGTTCCCTTGAGCTCCTTAATGTCGGAGATGGTGGATGGAGGGAGGCCAGCGTGTTTTCCATTTCCCACCTCCACCCCAGCCAATCTCTCTGGACTCTGCCCTTCTCAGACAGGTGGTGGGTAAATGCTGGTGGGTAGATAAGAGCCGAGAAGTAGCCTCGCCTTCTTCCCGCCCTCCCTTCCCCAAACCTAGGCTGCCAGCAGCCCCCACCACACTCCCTGCCATCGACGGGAACTGGGCCCCCACTCCCCTAAGCCATTCTCAGGAGCTCTGGACAGTTAGGGCTCCGGGGCATTCAAGCACTGCAGCTCAACACCTCCAAAGGCTGAGAAGACACTCAGATCGACATCCTGGTCCATTCCCCTTGCAAAGTGGGTCCCCAGCATCTCACTCTGGGGCGCATTTCGCCAGTCCCTTGAGGCCTCACACTCGGGGGGTCCCCGCTCCCGCCCCCTCCTCCCTCAGTCTTGAACCTTGGTCCTCCTCCTCCAGACCGTCCAGGGGCTCTGACTTCCAGCTCCCACTCCCCACAGACCCAGGAGTCTGGACCCCCTAGC